GATCTGGGCACTGCAAGCCCATCCCCTCCTAATCTGAAGCAGCAAAGCTCCCACTCCCAGCTGGGGAGAGGGGGTGGCAGAGAGGAAACAACTTCCAAAGAGGTTTGGAAGCCACATTCTCCTTTTATGGAAGAAATTTAGTGAAGAGCTGACCATTTGATAAGATATTACTAAACACTTATTAAATTCCCAGAAGTAATCATAGATGCCTTAAAGACATTTTTTGGAAGATCATTGCCTGTATATTTCCTTTTTTGTGTGGCATAAATAATGTATTAACCTGTTACAATTGACAACATTGGTTTTCTGTAGCCAGGAAGTCTCAAGTTGGCAGACTGCTTGACTTAATGGCTTGTCCTTTCTTGGCAGATGTGTAGAGTTGGCTGTTACCAAGGGAGAGGGCAGTAACTGGGCAGAAACTGTAGCCACACATTTGGGTCGATCACCTTGGCTTTCAAGCCGTTGGGGTGCTGTTCAGTGTGGGGTGATGGCATCATATCAGACCATGGCGCTTATCAGCATTGTTTCTTTGGAGTCCGTGTATGGAATGTATTTTTCAAATATTGATATTTGCATTTTCTGTAACAATTCCTTATAATAAAATGAGGTAAAATTGTGCATTTAAGGTGGAAACTTTAATAAGACATTTGTAGTTACTTTTAATGCATAGTACCAATAAGCATTAAAAACAAACACATTTTTAAAATTCCTGACATATGAATAAATTTCTTTAACAGTTACCCTCTAGGAAACTAAATTTCTAGCACTTTTCAGAAACACGTTGTTGGAGGCAGTCAAAAAGTAGCTATTTTAGGCCTAATGACCAGCTGCCTGGATTTACTGTGCTCTTGGTTGAGCTTCAGCCCATGGCAATGTGTGTGGTCACAGCTGCAGCCTCTGTCACCTAACCCCACTGGCATTCTCCAACGGACTGGAAATTCCCCCTGGCTCCATTACTGAGGAGCAGCAACTCAAGACGATCCACGCGTGGCGAGGTTTCTGCTGGTCCTGAGCTGAGGGGAGGACTGACACTGGTTTGATGGAATACTAAGGAAGGGTTAGGTCTTGCATATTAAAACCTAGTGACCTGCAGCACCGTGTAGGACGTGTACAAATCTAGTAGCTCATAGGGCCTCACACTCCCTTGAATTAATGTTCTCCCTTTCTTTACCTGTCTCCCATTTTGCTTATCCTTATTTCGGACCACCTGTGGTGAGATACCTCATTCTCTGGTGGCTTTTCTGACAGTTAATAGGAACTGTTAAGTGCTCCCAAGTAACCCTACTAGCCGCCCTTGAGGTGAACACTGGTCATACTATGTCATTATGTGGATACAAACAGGAACCAGGTATGTATCCAGTTTCCCCCATTTTTGCCCAGCCAGGTCAGAGCACTGGCTTTTGTTCTGCTTTCTCATTGTTCGCGGACAATATTGGGCAAATGCCGTAAGTGCTGTGCCCTGGTGTCTGGACCTGTAAAAGGGAAGTGACCGAGGTCCTTGTTAGCTTACAGGCTATCTGGAGGAAAGTGATCAATAGTGTCCTTCCTCTTGGGCAAGTAGAGCTGGTGTGCACACCGGGAGTCCCCTGCAGTGAGGGCTGGTGGGAGCAGTGTCTGCTGCGTACTTGCAGGAATCTGGGGGCTCTGGCAGTAAGAGGTGCTCTCGGGGGTGGGGGTTCAGCCCAGGGTGATCCTGAGGGACACTGCAGATCTCGGGACAGAGACAGGCCCCAGCCTGTCTGAGGATCTGTCAGATCACAGCTTGTCCCGGAGCTAAGCAAGCAAGGGATGTGGTGATGGTCTGATATGGCTCCCTTTGCTGCACAGTCATGCAGTGGCAAAGCTGTGACCCAAAAGGCTGGGCTCTTCACTCTTAACTTTGTGTTTATAGAAAACTGCAATCTCAATTCAAAGGCAGATACTACATTTCCTTCAGCATGTTGGGGGCAGTTGCCCCACCTGTGCTTTAACACTGCCCAGTGGCAGAGGGAGCGACTTGGTCAAACACTCATTCGGCTCTGCCACCCCATGACTGCTGTAACTGTTAGCAGGTGGGGGCAGATGGATGCCCCTTTTCTGGTCCATAAAATGAGGCCCTCTCTGGGCTGGCCTAGAGGTTAAATGAGAACAGATAAAGTTTCCTGCCCAGCATAGTTGCCCAACGTGTATTAGTTTTCTTCTCCATTTCCCTCTGCCAGCAGGTCTTAATTGCCTGAGCTGAACTTTCTGTGGCTTTCATCTGAGGGACTCCTTCCTCCTCCCTAAGTTTGCCCAGGACCACCTCTCTGGAGAGAGAAGGGAGAGGCATTTCCAGTAACCACCCACCTCCCATGGCTAAGCCCTTCGGACCGTTAAAATGACAGCCTGCTCTTGCTGAATCCTTTGAAGGTCCATCCCCCCCACCCCCTCACCCCCACACACACTATCCCTATATTTCTACCATACTGTAAGCTCCTTGCGGCCAGGAACCTGGCTTTCCTCCCATCCTCCCCTCCCTGGCACAGGGATGTTTGGCAAATATTTGTTGAATGACTTAAGGACAACCAGCGCAGTGGCAGTGACTAGTTCCCAGTTAGCTTGGAGTTGAGATTCCTCAGGGGCTGAATGGGATGCAGAGCAAGGAAGGTCCTAACCTCAGCTGTCTGCTCCTGCTCCAGGGAGGGCAGTGACATGCCAAACTGCGGGAGTGAAAACAGCACAGTCAGGACGAGAACCCTGAGTCCGAGGCTCAGCTCCACGACTTTGTGCCCTTAGGAAGTTTTGGACCTTAGCTGCCTCCTCTCCAGAACGAGCTAATGGCACACATACCACGTGCTCCAGGAACTGTGGCTATAGGGGTACCGAACCCAGTAGCCTTGGTCCCTGTTCTCAGCCTGCAGTTCAGAGTGAGAGGCTGAAAGGAAATCATGGTTACAGAACAGATTTGTTATCTGAGAAGTGAGCACATGGGACCTGTGTTGTGGGAACAGGTGCACCTAAATCCAGCTGGTGGGCCAAGGGTTGATGAAGGCTCCCAAGAGGTGCTGTTGAGCTGTATTTTTAAGAGATAAGGGACAAATTGAGCGGAGGAAGAGGTACTCCAGGGGGAAGGCGTTGTGGGCACATGCAGCGAGTGGAGGATGTAGGGTGTGGGGAGGGGCTGGGGGAGAAGATGAAGACTGGATGCCAGAAAGGAGGAGTTGAGGTGCCTATAGAGTTGCTCGGGAAGGCATCTGGACTAGATCCAAGGCGTGAGAAGAGCTCGTGGGAAGGGGTTCATGGGGAGGCAGCTTTTAAGGAATGGGGCCATGGGACGGAGCAACACTGGAGTTACCTGCTGTTGATCAGGGAAGGGCAGGAGCCAGGCGAATGGGGGCCGAGGAGCGAAGACAGTGAGTACCTGCAGCTTTTTCAGAGGCTTATCTATGGCAGGAATAGATAAGGGCCACAGAAGAGTGCGCTCTTCCGGCCTTAGGCAGGGAGAGGTTAAAGGTACAGGAAGGGCAGGTGAGGAAGATCCTGGGGTGGGAAAATGAGTCAAGAGCAGAGTCCGGTGTAAGGAGCAGGTGTGGCCACAAGGGCAGTGAACCATGAGACTGCCCTTGTAGGGGAGGCAGCCTCCATTTTCTAGTCAGTGAATCTGGAAAGCTATTTAGTGAGATTAATTATAAACGAAAGAAAGGAAGAATAGAGGATGTTTAAAATAAGAGTTGAATCCAGCTGATGTGGCTCAGTGGTTGACCCATGAACCAAGAGGTCACTAGTTCAATTCCTGGTCAGGGCACATGCCCAGGTTTCAGACTCAATCCCCCGTAGGGGGCATGCAGGAGGCAGCTATCAATGTTAATTTCTCATCGATGTTTCTATCTCTATCTCTCTCCCTCTCAAATCAATTTAAACATATTTAAAAAAAAAAAAAAAAGAGTTGAGGAGGTTGGGAAAGGAGTGGAGGTGAAGGCTCGGATGAGGAGAAACCATGTCTAATAGCACCAGGCTTTATTGCCTTATCTAGGAGGTAGAAACACTCCTTGCCCCTGTCTACTCAACAAGAATCCAGGAGTAATGGGTATGAACTATGTCAAGTGTAGATTACAGTGACCTTGGACACAACCTGTGGAGAGCGGCTACAGCGTTTGGACAGGTTCAAGCCTGGGACTAATGAGAGGGCACGATCCTCTCTTGGCTTTGCCACATGCAAGTCCCAGCACAATTATAGCCAAAGGCTATAGTTGTAAGCTTGAACCTATGGTCCGAACATGTGGTCCCACGTGGCTAAGTGATATTGAGTCGATTTGAAACCCACAAGAATGTTGTAACCACGCCCTTACTTTGCCTCATGGAAACTGTCTATAAAATAAAGACTCGGTTTGCAGGCCGTGGTGCTCTCTCTCCATCAGAGAGGGCAGCGTCCCACCCAGACCCAGCTTTCTTCTCTTGTCTGTCTTTTCCTAATCCTTCACCGCCCCCTTAGACTCACCAAATCTGGCCGTGCTGGCGCAGCACACAACCCACTGGAAGAGCTGCGAGCCCAGATAGCAGCAAATTGAGGCTGTTTGTATTGGCATTTGCAGCCTTGCCCAAACGCTGATGTGCTAGCCCGTTATCTTGTTAGAGCTCTGAAACTACCTTTCGCCAAAAACGCAGAATTCTCCCTTTGAAAACACATCACACCTTAAGTTTTTGAAATAGAAACAAATCCTTTAAATTTAAAGAGGCATCTGGATTTGCTGTATCTATATAAGCAAAAGCTTTTCCAATTTCCAGAATTAGTCTACTCTTTTTTATTGTCACCTCTGACTGTATTGGCCCAGCTCATATCAACTCAATGCAGCTTTTGGTTGTAAATTAGGGAAGACTCATATATAAGAAAGGTTACAACCCTAGCTGATTTGGCTCAGTAGATAGAGCATCGGCCTGTGGACCAAAGGGTCCTGGGTTCGATTCCAGTCAAGGCATGTATCTTCGTTGCAGGCTCCTTCCCAGTCAGGGCTCATGCAGAAACCAGTCGATGTGTTTCTCTCACATCGATGTTTCTCTCTTTCCCTCTCTCTTCTACTCTCCCTAAAAATATCCTCGGTTGAGTATTAACAAAAAAAGGAAAGAAAAAAGGTTATAAAAGTCAGGGGTAACAAGTTTAGCCATCGGGGATGGAAGAGAGTATGTTGATGCCGTTTTTTTTGTTGTTTGTTTATTTATTCATTCATTTTTGGTCTTTTCTGGATGTATCCTCTTGTTTCTGAGTTGTAAGAGAGTGATGTAGTCCCTTTTTGCCAGTGCCCCTGACGAGGCCAGCAGCCGATCTGGCAGCCTGGGAGTCCATGGGAAGGATTGGAGCTTACAGCCCGTTGCTTGTCTGTTCAGTTAGTTTTGAGTTGGTCATATTTGTGTTCATTAACATTCGAGGGCTCTGAAGGAGGATGGCAGGTAGATCTGAGGGAACGGTGGCAAAAACGGGCTGACCAATACTAGGCGAGTTGCCGACCTCTGGCCTCAGTCACCAGAATGGTGAGCCGCTGGTGAGGGTCATGGGCCACATTTGCAGAGGCCAGAGTCCTTCCAGGCCCCCTTGTTCGATGTCAGGAGCCATCCTAGTGCACATGAGTCAGGGCTCATTAGGCTTCTCTGTGGGTTATCAACAGGTAGGGCACCAGCTTAGAGTGGGAAAGAGCATGTAATGGCCAGGGGTGGGCAGCCTGTATATTCCTCCAAGTTGGGGTGGTCCAAGTCCCCACGATCTCTGTGTGTAGGGTTGTCCGGTGCTGGGTCACTAGGGGGACCGGTTGTTCTCACACACACACAGCGGGGCTCCTTGGCACCCGGCTTGTACAGCTTCCTGGGGACACCAGTCCAGTCTCTGCTCACGCCTCCACTGAAGATAGAAGGAGAGGGACTTAGAAGCGTGAACTAGTGAGTCTGTCGGGGCTGGGGGTGGGGGTGAGGTTGGGGGTCGGGGAGGAGGAAGCAGTGAGCCATCTTGACGTTTTCCCAAGGCGGAGGTCTGCAGTGTTCAGCCCCTGAACCTTGTTCTCTCTCCTAACTTTCGCCAGCTTCCCCTGCCCAGGGCATCCTCCTGGCACTGCTCCCTGGCCCTGCCCCACCCTGTGCCTTCCTGGAGGCAGCACTCCCTGCTTTGGCAGCAACACCAGTGAAAGGCTTTCTCCCACTGGCCTGTGAGCTTCTCAAAAGCAGTATCTGGCTCTGATTCTCTCTTCCCTTCCCACTCTATCCTAGTGCCTTGATCTTAGGGTCTTGGGCACTTGGGTAGGGTGGACAACTGAGGCAACAACACAAGGCCTGGTGGTCAGCCTTCTCTGAGAGGCCATTTCCTGACCCTTGCCCAGGTGCAGTCCTTGATGTCACCTGGTCCAACAGAGCTGAGCAACCTCCTGTCCTGGGCAAGAGGGAACCCACCTCATCTTAGGGTCCTGAGTACAGCCTCCCATGGACTCACAAGACTTGCAGAGAAAAATGAGATTTTTGGAATTGATGCCCATGTAGATTCAAGTGCCTGGGACCAGAATCACTTGCTGTCAGAGAAACTGCTGCCCAGTTAACTTACCCAAGAGCAAGGCTGTCAGGGAAGGGCACTGAAACACCACCTCTTTCCTTCTAACCATCCATCCCATCGCAGTGACCCGTGCTCCACACCCAGTCCCTCAGGACTCGCTACTCCCAGTCTCCAGGGAGGTATACACACGTGGAAAACAATGCATTGGGTTGGAGCTCAGGGATGGGGCCAAGCTCCTTGGAGTTGGTCTGGAAGAGCTTTGTGGGGCAGGCAGAGCCTAAGCAACTCAGGGAAGTAAGAGGGCGTTACACAAAGACAGACCAGGCTGTGAGGACGGAGAGGGAGGCAGGTTCTCCAAGGGAGCAAAGTCAAGCATCAATGCACTCAAGCCTCGGCGCCTCCCATGCGGGACCAGTGCTCTCTGAATCCACCTGCATTCAGGCTTGTGTTCCCGCAAGGCCCACCTTTGTTCCAGTTCCTCTCCCTAAAGTGAGGGCCCCCCTTTCTGGAGACATGATAACCCTGGAGGGGCTGCCTCTGCAAAACTGGTGGCTGGGAGAGAAGAGGCTTTCCTTCCTGCTGCTCTGAATTACGGTGGAGGGAACGTGATGTACACGGTGGCTGGGCCTGGAGAAAGCTGCTGGCTTTGACACAAGGAATCAGCCTCAAGGAGAGCAAAGAGGTGTGCTTTTCCCCATAGAAGAGAGTGGATCTACACACGGAGCACTCAAGGCGAGTGGCCGTTCTTGCAGAAGCCACAGCAGGTCTCCCTGACCCTCAGTGACCTGGGCTCTTACTTTGAGGCCCTCGAGGCTGGGCGTTTGTCTAGTTTTGTCTCCATGTCCCCTTATCAGAGCTAAAGGAGATTTGAGGGACCTGAACTGTATTTAAATCCAGGCTGGCCTGATCTTTAAAGCAGGAAAACAATATTTTTTCTCTCTAGTTTCCCCAAACCAACCTGGAATATCCCCTGTGGCATCTATTCTAATCTGGCTCACTTCAATTCTTACAGGCAAGGACTTCTCATCTAGCGTACCTCCTGGAATTCCTCAGAATTTGCAGTTCTTAAGACGGCACCTCAGGGCATCAACGCAAGTGGTTATGTCCACCTCCTTATCCCTCCATAAGGCAGGAATGATTTGTGCTGACAAATAGGAAATAAAGGCCCCTGGATGGATGAACAGGCCAAAGCAAGAAAACAGTGCTTGTGACTTCTCATTCCCTCCCAGGGGTTCTTCAGCAGGGTCTTTGGGGAATTAAAAAAAGAAAGAAAGAAAAAGATGGCCAGATCTCAATCCTAATATTCTCATCCAGTTGCCTGCAGTGAGGCCCCACCATTGGTAATTTTTTAAAATTGCCCAGAAGATTCTAACATGTAGTCAAAGTTGAGAATCACTATCCCAGGGCACATGTATTTTGAAAAAGTTCCCCTGGGTTAACAATCAACTTACAGCCTCCCTGAACCACGGGATGAGCTAGGAGTTGGGTTTGGGAGCAGCAGAGGCAGCAGAAGGGAAGCCTGCTTACCTCGTTTGGGAACACCAGAACCTGCTGCCCCTGGCTGCGCTCCACTCCGTGTTGCATGGTGGAAACTTGTTCTTCTCTTTCAGTTCCTGTTTGTCTGCCTCCAAGCCTTTGGTGATCATGGCTTCTACCTGGGTTAGTGCCGAGGTGGGGAGCCCATCCTTTCCATAGAACCTTCCAATCACCCTTCCTGTAGTGATAGGAGAGCTGCTGTCAGAACCGGCAGGGGGGGTGGGGGGGGGCAGGGAGGCAGGAGGAGATGCTTGGCTTCTCCTGCAGTTGTAATACTGCCCAGCTTCCCAGGGCTTCTGGGGCCAGGACTCTACTGGAGCCTGCTGGCTGCTTATTTCTTAAGAACTCATATTGGAGGACTTGGGCACCTTCTATCCCAACGTTTTAACATCGTACAAGACTCCAGATAGAAGCATCCCTTTTGTACTTGTAGAGTCTTCTGAGGAAATAATAAAACGTCTCACTTCCAGACATTAGTCCCCTGAGAGTGGAACCATGTGATTCATTTTCAATGCTCCACAGTGCCTGAGGCAAACAGTAAGTGTTCAATAAATGTCTGACAAATAAATGGCCTTCTGTGTAACATTTTTGTGGCTTAATTCTTCCCAAAATTGAATTATTTTATCATATATAACTATAAATAAATTACTTATTAAGCAATTACTTAGTGGCAAGTGCTATGCTAAGCACATAACTACTATTTTCTTAATCCTCATAACCCTATGAGAAAGTAATCATTGTTCCCCTATTCACAGGCGAGATGGGGGAGGGGGTGTCTATGAAACTAGTGAGTGGTTCTGAGCCCGCACATGCTCTCTTCCCTGCGCTGCCCCCCTCTCCCCCGTTCTCTTATTGCTCAGTCCTATGGACATATTGGGTGGAAATTGGTTTTAGTTTAAAATCCATGCCAGAATTTGTAATGGTCTAAGCTATGGCAGCAGCCAGCAAGTGGTCGGAGAGCCTGCAGGCTAAAGCTACAAAGGCCTCAGGTCTCCTCAGGGGCAGGAACTTTCATCTTCAAGTCCTGAGTGTAAGTGTCCATCACAGGGCAAGAGAAGCAGCAGATAGCACTTCTAGAAGGTTTGACCGGGAGGACAAGGTAGCTGTGTATACTTGCCCAGCTGTGTCTGTCCAACCTCTCCAGGCCCTGAGCACTTAGATCCCAGAGCCACTTACATAGAGTGTTCCCAAGATTCAGTTCTTCCTCTCAGGTTCAGCTCCCCTTCGGGACTTTTCCAGCTGTATTTGTATCACTTTTGGCTTTTGTTATTTGGATTAGGAGCCTTGGGTCTCTCTGATACCCCCTCCTTTATATCTAAATGCATGCTGCCATGTGCTCATGTCCAATCCATTAGCGACTCCCTAATTCTGTCCTTTTCCATTTCTACTGCTACCACCCTAATCCAAACTCTGGATTACAATAGCCTCCCAACTGCTGTGTCTCCCTTAGCTCATCCCTTCCCAAAATTCTTGCTCCACAAAGCAGCTAGGTGAGCATTTGAAAAAGTGATTATCATGTCCCCTCCATGCTAGGTTTAAACCCTGCAATGGTTTCCTAAAACACGCGGATAAAGTACAAACTTCTTACCAAAGCCTCCAGCACTCTATAAGCATCTGGCTTCCCTTTGCCTTCTGAGCCTCTTCTCAAGCTGTCCCTCCCTCATTTCCTGCCGGCTCCTGTCACTGGCCTCCTGCCTAGTCCTTGACCATGTTTAGCTGCCTCGACCTCAGCCTGAAAGGCTCTGTCCAGATCTCAGCATGGCTGCTCCTTCCCGCCTTCCAGGTCTCAGCTTATCTGTCATCTCCTCTAAGAGGCCTCCCTGACCTTCTTCTCTAAAGGGGCCACACCTTCCCAAACCTGCACTGCATTAGCCTTTTAGTTTATTCACAGTCCTATCTGGACTTGCTTGATCTGCTTACTTATGATCTATCTCTTCCTACCATGAAGCCCCAGCACTCAAAACAGCTTAGTACAGAGCTTTCATTTTACATGCTTGTTCGATTAAATGAAGGGTACAGGGCCCTAGTCCCAGGCCTGCAGTCTATAGTTGGCCTGGCACAAATTTCTCCTATTGAAGGTCTCTATGCATGGTGACAGGCTATCTTGTGGCTTTTAAGCATGAGACCCAAAGAGAGGGCAGCAGTAGTAGAAGAGGCAATAGAGAGAGTTGTAGTAGCTGCCTCATGAGAATGGTGGTCACCATTGGCTGGGTCTCTAAGCCAGTGCTATATCCAGAAAACAACAAGACATCTCATTTTCCCTGGAGGCTTGGCCATGTGGCTGCCAACATGGCTTTCTGGCTGTCTCCCCCTCACTGTGCACCCACATATACACATTCACCCTCCGATGTGTCCTGAGGGTTTCTGATGCCCTGTAAGAGTGAGCTCACAGAGGCAGGCACTGCACTCAGCTCAGCCCTGGTCCCCACGAGGACCAGTACCAGAGCTTAGGCATAGTAGATACTCAAACATATCCCGACTTAACGAAAACCCTTCTGAAGCATTTCCAACCATATGACCCCCACCCTCCTCACATACATCAACACTCTTCAAATAAGACTAGTTCACTCATCTCACCAAACACCAGTATGACACATTCGGTCTGGCATCCTTTGCCCACTGACAGGACTCCACCCTTACTCTTCTGTGTTGAATTTTCTTTTCCTTATTAACCCAGTAATGTTTCAACCTTGGTTCAGCAACCTCATGGGAAAAGGGAGAACCAAGCCTTTGGAAGGGCAGATGGATAGAGGCCAGTTCCTTCCATGGCAGACATGCTGTGGTCTAAGGGATGAACTGGGGCAGCCTGGGTGAAAACAGAGAAGGGGTGCTACAGGTTGGGATGACAAAGGCCAACAGTGGCGGGTGTGGAGGAGGGTGGGGATGAAAACAAAACCTTAGAACTTACTAAAAAAGCCTTGGCAAGTTGGATGTGTAGGGAGCCGAGGAGTTAGTAAAAATGGCAAGGTTTTCAGAAAAGGTAACCCAAGTAGTAACGACAGAAGCATCACTCAGAGGCCTGGAGGGTGGAGGAGGAACTTCCCGTGTAGACTTGTTCCAAAGGTAAAAGGACATTGATGTTCCTCAGGAAGTCAGCTGGGTCCAAGTGGGGCTCCCGTGAGAGGCTGGGGTTGCAATCGATGGGAAAAAGGGGCTCCAACCACCCCAGTTTCTGTGACTAACATTTCTCTAGGTGTCTTCCCATATAAAAGGCGAATTCCCTCCTGCCTCACCAGTCAGCAGCAAGGGCAGTACCCTACACAACTGGCTTTAACACATGTTTGATTGGCATAACTTCCCCCCGGGACACAATTCATTAAGGATGGACATAGGTTGTCGTCTCTCTCCTTAGAGGACAAAGCAAAAGGATATCTGTCAAAACTGCACACGAACTTGGGCTTCAAGCCTTCCTGCCTGCTGAAGCCAGATGCCCGGAACGCCGTGAGACAAGAAAGCTGCCCTCTTGGAGGTGGCTGGTTAAGCGTGGTGCAGGCAACTGGCTTAGGGGCAACAGAGGCCAAAGCAAATGGGCAGGCAATACTTCCCCAAGATTAAAAGTGAGGGACCAGGTGCCCCAGCCATTTCCTTCTGGGACTCACTGCCACACTACCAACTACAGTTTAAGGTGAAAAATCCATAGGCATTTTTCAGATTTTAACCTTGAGTCCAAGCCCCAAAGAATTCTAGTCCGTTAAAAAATTGCAAGAAAAAGAAATGAAATCTTTGGAAATGGCCTGTGGAATACCTACCAACAAATTCGTAATTCTTCTCATAGAATGATAGCCAATTTTGAAGTGTCAGCATCTCAGAAAATGACAAGTCCGATACATCATCCACAAGGCCTGCTTCAGAGTAGTCCCCAGTCACAAACGCTCTGGATGCGTCTCGGCCTGCAGCAGAGATGTTTCCAGTCGGTTAACTTATAAGTCGCTGACATCGTACCAACTCAAGAATCTATTTCCTGAGAAACACCTGAAAACCCCACTGTCCACCCCCAAATAGAATCCCCCTCCTCTGTGACAGATGCTCGTGGACCTTGGACACACAGTCTGGCATTTATCACATTCTTTCATCTACTTTCAGCAACATTCAGTACGGCTGACGTCCCTCGGCTCCCATGACACTACGCTCTGGTTTTCCTCCTACCTCTCTGGCGCATTTTCTACCAGCCTCTGAGATCAATCATTGTCCACCTCCTCTACTCCACCCACACCCTCCACTGGACAATCTCATCCGCTCCCGCGTTTTCAAATACCACCTCTAAACCAAAAACTGCTAAATGTGTATCTTTAGCTCAGACTTCTCGAGCTCCAGACCTATATATTCTATTGTCGACTCAGCATCACTTACATGTCATCACAAGTTCAAAATGTTCACACTCAACTAATGGTCATCAGCACCCCAGCCCTAGGAAAATGCATCTTTTCTAGTATTCCCATCTCAGTAAATGTCAACCAGTTGCTCAATCCAGAAATGCAGTCCTTGACATCTCCTTCATCCTTCACATCCTATCAGTCCCCAAATCCCATAACCTAAATAGTTCTTATATCTACCTTTCTCCATCTCCCACTAAGCAAGCCCAGGCTGTCATCATTTTTCATCTGAACTACAATAAACCCCTAGCAGTTCTTTATACAGTCATTCTTTCCCTAGTGATCGATTTTTCATACAATACTTAGATTATTTTAAACACAAATTGATCAAGTCATTCTCTTGCTTAAAAATTCTCAGTGACTTCCTTCTGCTCTATGATATCAAAATTCCATAACATGCCATTCAGAACTCTGCACCAGCTGCCACCAACCTTGCCTTCCCTCTGTGATCCCTGGCCTCTGGTCACAGCAGTGTGTCTTCCCTTTCACACTCATCACAAAAATAATTCATTAATTATGTGACAACTACTGAATTTTTGTCTTTTCTACCTGTCAGCAAATTTTATAAGAGAAACACGAAACTCCTTTAGTATTGATTACTCAGTGTCTGGTAGTGGCTGTTCTTTAGTACATTCTCAATAAGTATTGACTGAATGAAACCCAATTGATTTTCAGAAAGACTGTCAAGGCAATTCCAACAGGGAAAGAATAGTCTTTTCCATAAGCAGTGCTTGAACAACTGAATAGCCACATGCAAAAGAATGAAATTAGATCCTTATACCATATGTAAAATGAACTCAAAATAGATCAATGAGCTGAATATATGAACTAAAAACTATAAAATTCTTAGAAGAAAACATAGGTGAAAGTCTTTGTGACCTTGGATTTAGCAACAGCTTCTCAGGACACCAAAAGCACAAGCAACCAAAGAAAAAAATTAGTTGAACTTGATCAAAATTAAAAATTTTTGTGCTTTAAAGGACACTATCAAGAAAGTGAAAAGAGCCCCGACCAAGAGCCCTAATGAGTGTGGCTCAGTAGCTTGTGCATTGTCCTGTGCACCGCAAGGTCACTGGTTCGATTCCTGACTGTGGGTTCTGTCTTAGTTAAGGTACCTGGGATGCTCAAGGGAGAAGGCAACCACTTGATGTTTCTCTCTTCCCTCTCCCTTCTCCTCTCTCTAAAATCAATTAAAAATATTTTTAACAATATCAAGTTAAAAAAAAAAAAAAAAGGTAAAAAGACAACCTACAGAATGGGAGAAAATACATGGTGTCCCCCAAAAGTGTATACATACTTTTTTTTCTGATAGCTCAATTGATGTTTCTTTTCAGATTTAACCCATTGGAATGAATAACTATTCAAAGTGTGTATACATTTTTTTGTATATTTGCAAATCATTTATCAGCATCCAGTATATATAAAGAATTCTCACAACTCAAAAAGGCAACCCAATTAAAAAATGGACAAAGAGGGGGATGGGGGAGAAAAAAAAAATGGACAAAGAACTTGAATAGATATTTCTCCAGGGAGGATATACAAATGATCAACAAGCAAATTAGTTATTAGGGAAATTCAAATAATCAAAACCACAATGAGATAGCACTTTCAAACCACTAAAATGACTATAATAAAAAAGACAACCATTCAGTGAGGAAGTGGAGAAACTGAAACTCTAATACACTGATGGGAATGCACAATAGTGCAGCCACTTTAGAAAACAATTTGGAAGTTTCTCAAAAAGTTAAACATAGAGGAGCCTGCAGGAGGCAGCAGATTAATGATTCCCTCATCATTGATGTTCTCTTTCTCCCTCTCCCTCCTTCTCTCTCAAATCAATAAAAACATATTTCTTTGAAAAAATATTATTTAAATAGAGTTACCTGGCAATTCTACACTCAAGAGAACTGAAAACATGCCTACAAAAAAGCTTGCACATGAATGTTTTAGCAGCATTATTCATAATAGGTAAAAGTGAAAACAACCCAATTTCCAACAAATGATGAATAAACAAAAGTGGTATATCTATACAATGGAATATTATCCTATATAATAATCCTATATAATAAAAGGCTATATGCAAATTGACCGAACAGAACAACCAGTCGCTATGATGTGCACTGACCACCAGGGGTCAGACGCTCAATGCAGGAGCTGCCCCCTGGTGGTCAGTGTGCTCTCACAGCGGGAGTGCTGCTCAGTCAGAAGCCCTGAGCCAGGCTCACGGCTGGCGAGTGCAACAGTGGTGGGGGGAGCTTCTCCCACATCTGTGGCAGCACTAAGGGATGTCCGACTGACGGCTTAGGAGTGGGCCTAAGCCGTCAGTCAGACATCCCCTGAAGGCTCCCGGACTGTGAAAGTGCACAGGGACCCCCCCTCCCCACCCCGCCCAGTGCACGAATTTCATGCACCAGGCCTCTAGTTTGACCATAAAGAGGAATGGAACTCTAGCAGGTTTGGCTCTGTAGATACAGTGTTGGCCTGCGGACAGAATGGTCAATTCCAGCCAAGGGCATGTACCTCGGTTTCAGGCTCCTCCCTGGCCCTGGCCCTGGTAGGAGGCAACCAATCAATGCGTTTCTTTCACATCGATATTTCTCTCTGTCTTTCCCTCTCTCTAAAAATCAATGGAAAAATATCCTTAGTGAGGGGAAAAAAAAAAAGGAATGGAGTACTGGTACATACTAATATACCATGGTCGAACCTTGGAAACATTGTGTTAAGTGAAAGAAGCCAGTCACAAAAGCCACATATATGATTCCATTTATATGAAATGCCCAGAGACAGAAAGTGGATAGTGGTTGTTGAGGGTTGGGGGATGGAAGGGAATGGAGAGTGACTGCTAATGGATGTGGGGTTTTTTTCTAGGGGGTTCGATAAAAATGTTCTGGAATTAGCAATGTCTGCACAACTTTCTGACTATATTAGAAACCACCGAATTATACATGTTAAAGGGGGTAGATTTCATGGTGTATGAATTATATCAATAAAAGGTAATAAAAAGATTGACTGAACAAATGAATAGACGAACCTAATCTGCTTCTCTTCTAGCCTGTGTGGGCAGTGGGGAGCATGTTGTAATCTTTGGCACAAGGCAGGCTACACGTTAGCGGTCAATAAATGGACGCTGAATGAATAATGGCACCAAGGAACTCTGTAGACAGCAGAGCACACTGCAGAACAATCACCACCCCAGAAGCGGAGGGTTTTATGCTCACACTTGTGGATGTAGCCATGACAGCTGCTTCAGGGTGGGGCAGGATAGTGCACCCAAAAGTGCCCTCTCCTCGCAGGTAAACTAAAACCCCTGACTCCAGTCCCAGCTCCACTTCCCCTGCTCAACTGTTTGAGGAGCTTGGCAACACCAACTGAACTTGATTCCCTTTATATGCTTCCTCTGTCTCCTAAGTTCTCCCTAGAAACAGGGAAGTGGCTTGTATTTAAGTACCAGAGGCAGCTTCCCAATTTCCCTAAGATAATGAAACAAGTGGACAAATGCTCATTTAATATCAGCCTAGTCACTGGCCTTAAGCTTGCTCTGCATTTTTCCCCCTCTTTAAGCCTGAGAGGTGGTCATTCCTCGGGGCTGGTACGGCAACATCTAAAAGTAATAAGCTGGTGGTTTTCGTCTCAGTGGTTCTCAACCCTGGCTGCACATTAGAATCACCTGGGAATCTTTTTAAAATCCTGATTTCTGGGCCTCATCCTCCGGAAATTCTGTTTCTTTGTTATGGGGCGGGGCCACAACATTAGTAACAAAGAAATAGAATTTCCAGAGGATGAGTGAGGCCCAGAACTCAGGATTTTAAAAAGATTCCCAGGTGATTCTAATGTGCAGCCAGGGTTGAGAACCACTGGTCTAAGTCCTGTTAGCTGTGAGGGCTTTAGGCAAATCACATCCTTTAATGCCCTCAGCTGCGAAACAGGGTCAGCAGAGCAAACTTAACCCGACACGTGTTCTTTGAGGCGTAACGTGCGCACCGCTGTGAGTACTGAAGGGCTGCAAAGGGCGGCCAGGCTCTTGCCCAGCGCTCTAACCTCAGTCTTCTTTAAGGCAGGCAGACGAGTGCATCTGTGCCGGAAGCAAGACCTACTCAAACCAAATGCACTACTTTTAGGGGAAAGGTGGGTCCGGAGGAATTGAAGAGACGATTGGCATCAGCAGGGTCTCCTTCATCTCTGCGCCCCGAGAGCCACGCAGTGTGGCACAAAGCAGGTGGCCCTCGGGGGCTTCTGCCGGTGGGTAATGGGTAACTAACAAGAGGCAGGAGGCGCGCTTCTCCCCGTAAGTCAGGAAGAAGGACATGGAGAAGAGAGGCCGCTAACTGCTGGCCGAGTCAGCGAGACTAGGAGGGCCGAGCGGCAGAGCCCGGCCCCCTCGCTGGCCTGATGAATACGGGGAGGAAAACAGCAGATGGATGAATGCATGAATGAATGAATGAATGCATGAATGAATGAATGAATGCCGCACAGGCGGCTACCCTCCTGCGTCCGAGCACGAGAGGGCACGAGCCGCCGCGCTGGTACCTGCGAAGCCGCTATAGGGAGCCCCAGGCTCGTAATGCCTGCGGCCGGAGGACACGTCGTAGACTCGGCCGAGCAGCGCCAGGTAGAGGCCTGGCTCCCCGGGGCCGCCGCGGTGGCGGGCCAGCTCCCCGGGTGTGAAGAGGCGACAGCCAGCGCGGGGGCCCCACCAGCCCGCCAGCCGCGCTGCCACCGCCGCGGCCGCCACCGCGGCCAGGCCCAGGAGGACCCCGCGCCCGCCGGGCAGCAGCATCGACGGCCGCCTCTCTGCCCACAAGGAAGATGGCGGAGACGCTGGTCGTGACGTCACCGGCGTCACACTCTCTCCTGTCCTCCCGGCACGGAGAGGACGCGGAGGACTGAATGGGATAAAGTCCAGGTAAAGCTCACTTCCTGGCTCCTACTCTTTCTCGTGCCTTTTCAGGAACTGAGCAGCGAAAGGGCCTTCTGGGCCTGCCGGCTGTCCGCCCCTAACAAAGACAGTGACCACCGAGGCCAGGGGACGGCGCAGCGCGACAGCAGCGCCTGCTCGTCACTCGCAGTTCCGCCCTTTGCCGACACTGTCCTCCGCGGCTGTCGCACGACAGCGGGTCGAGTCCGCTTGACGGCGCCTTAGCGACAGCAGTCCTCGCTTGACGGCGAGGAAGCCGGAAGCCACCGCTGCCGCCGTCGTCCCCTCCCCGTCCCCGCCCGCCGGGTACTGTCTGAGGTTGACAGGTCGAGGCGGGGCGGCGGCGGCGGCGGCGACAGAGCCGGGTGCCCGAGACGGAGACCCCATGGGGAACGCTCCGAGTCACAGCAGTGAAGACGAAGCGGCAGCCGCCGGGGGCGAGGGCTGGGGCCCGCACCAGGACTGGGCCACGGACCCCGGCATGGCCCCCGGCCCAGGCCCTGCCGCCCCGGCGCTGCCGCCGGCCCCGGCGCTGCTGGAGCCGGCCCGGCTGCGAGAGGCAGCGGCTGCGCTGCGGCCCTCGCCGCCCTGCGAGTCCCTGGTGTCCAGGCACCACGGCGCGCTGCTGCGCTGGCTGGAGGAGCGGCTGGGCCGCGGCGAGGAGTCCGTCACCCTGGAGCAGTTCCGGGAGCTGCTGGAGGCTCGCGGCGCCGGCTGCTCGGGCGAGCAGTTCGAGGAGGTCAGGGCTGCCTGGGGCGGCGGGGCGGGGGGCCAGGCGGTCGCCCGCCAGGGCGAGAAGGGGTGGGCGGTGGCGTTGGAGGGGCCGGGTAGAGCCCGCAGCGTCCGGGAATGGCAGCAGGGGGGCGCCGGGACGTGCGTGGGGTGCTTCCAGTCTGTTCGCGACCAGAGGCGGCTACACATTGCTTTAACTTTTCATAGAAATGTGGAAAGCCTAGACTAGACCTTGCTCTGAAAAACGGAACGAGACCAGATGTTGTAATGCAGACGTTTGTGCAGTTGCCGGACGCTGGATCCACCGCTCCCTGGAGCTTCCTTATCGGGCTCCAGAATAGCTAGAGGGAAGGGAGGCGTAGTGATCCAGGGAGTGCCGGCGACACCATTGTTTTTTTATTGGCCAGGGGGGTTGTACCGAGCACCTTTTGAATCCAGTGTGGGCGCCTAACGAATGTGGGAGGAGAAGAACATAATTTGGAAGAACACATTCTAAAAGCCGTTCTCATCAGGCAAAAAACCAGCTTTTCCAAGTACACATTTGATTTTAGATCTCTGAAGAACCATATTTTTAGACTAATTTAAACCTTCATCGAGCCTAAAACTTACAGGCAGATACCAGATTTCCCGTGAATACTTGTAATTATAGTTTTTGGCATAATTACCAATGTCACCTCTATTAAATTATTAACAGCCAGTCGATATGGCAACAAAATATTTTCCTTGGAAAGGACCTAAGGAATTATGTGTACTGAACACTTCATTTTAGAGTTAAGAAGAGAACTTGGATTGTTACTAAAAGAGATCTGACCCAGGGTCACCCAGTAAATCATTGGCAAAACTGAAGACTGCTACTCATATCTCGTGATTTTTGTTGGTCTTATCTCCATTACCTCCTTCTTGGGACTCTATTTTATTTAACTCCACAGTGTTATAACAAAAAGGTGCTTAATTTTTGAAATAAATAAGCCATGTAGGCTGTCAGTGAAGTAAGTGTGAGTACCTAAAGCAGTAAATTGACAGCTACTTTAATGCCATAAAAAAGTGATCCAGAGGCTTGTAAAATATTTTAAGAATGTTTTCCTGTACCTGGCCAGACTCAGATAATATGGTTTGTATGGTTTTTTTTTTTATATTTTCCTTTAAAAAAGACCTGTAAGTCATCCCAACTCTTGAAAATGTTGGTCATATTAGTGAGTGAGGGTTTTCTTTTCTTTTCTTTTCTTTTTTTCAATTACAGGTAACATTCAATGTTATATTGTATTAGTTTCAGGTGTACAGCTAGGGTTAGATAGTCTTATAGTTTACAAAGCATTTTGATATTTCAAGTATCTTCTTGGCACCATACATAATTATTACAATGTTACTGACTATATTCCCTATGCTATTCTGTAACTACCAATTTGTACTTCTTAATCTCTTCACCTTTTTCACTCAGTCCTCCAACCCACCTTCCCTCTGGCAACCATCAGCCTGTTCTCTATCTGTGAGTCTGTTTCAGTTTTGTTTGTTCATTTATTCTGTTCTTTAGGCTTCACATATAAGTAATATTACATGGTGTTTGTCTTTCTCTAACTTATTTCACTTAGTATAATGCCCTCCAGGTACATCCACGCTGTCACAAATGGTAAGATTTCATTCTTTTTTATGGTCAAGGAATATTTCATTGTATATAGTATCACAGCTCTTTTATCCACTAGTCTATTGATGGGCACTTGGGTTGCTCCCATATCTTGACTATTATAAATAATGCTGCAGTTGAACATAGGGTTGCATATATTCTTTCGAATTAGTATTTTGGATTTCTTTGGATGTATACCCAAAAGTGCAATTGCTGGATCATAAGGCAGTTTCATTTTTAATTTTTTTTCTTAAAATATACTTTTTATTGATTTCAGAGAGGAAGGGAGGGGGAGAGAGAGAGACATCAATGATGAGAATCATTGATCGGCTGCCTCCTGCACACCCCCTACTGGGGATTGAGCCCGCAATCTCAGCATGTGCTCTTGACCAGAATCAAACCTGGGACCCTTCAGTTTGCAGCCGATGTTCGATCTACTGAGCCAAACTGGCTAGGGCTCATTTTTAATTTTTTGAGGAACTTCTGTACTGTTTTCCATAGTGGCTGCACCAATCTGCATTCCCACCAATAGTGCACAAGGGTTCCCTTTTCTCCACATCCTTGCCAGCACTTGTTATTTGTTGATTTATTGATGGTAGCCATTCTGAAAGATGTGAAGAGATACCTCATTGTGGTTTTAATTTGCATTTCTCTGATGATTAGTGACATTGAGCATCTTTTCATATGTCTATTGGCCTTCTGTCTGCCCTCTTTGGAGAAGTGTCTATTCAGGTCCTCTGCCCATTTCTTAATGGGGTTGTTTGTTTTGGTGTTGAGTTGTAGGAGTTCTTTATAAATTTTGGATATATATATATTCCCTTATTAGATATATCATTGTTGAATATCTTTGTCTTTTTGTTTTGTTGCTGGTTTCCTGTATTGTGTGAAAACTTTTTAGTTTGATGTATTCCCATTTGCTTATTTTTTCCCTTGTCTGAGGGAATACATTAGAAAAAAATATTGGTAAGAGAAAGGCGTGGGTTTACTTTTGAACTCTCTACTTTGTTCTATTAATCTATGTGTCTGTTTTTATGCTAGTACCAGGATGTTTTGATTACTATAACCTTGTAATATAGTTTGACATCAGATAGCATGATACTTTCAACTTTGTTCTTCTTAAAATTACTGTTCCATTTTTTTTAAATTCCAAGAATATCCATAACTCTTTCCACTCTAGTCCTAGGTACATTATAAGAAAGTGAAAGTGTGCAAGAAAGAGCTGTGTGGATCTGTTGAAGGAGTTGACACATTTCAGAATTATCCAAGAGAGAGAGTAGAGAAATAGTGTTTACATTGTGAGATTGTTAGACAGGAATAGAACTACAGGTGAAGTTTACAGGAGTCCTGTAATGTAAGGCCAGGAAGTACTCAGGGTGTGGTCCAGAAATTATACAAGGACTATGACATTATTCATTTGTTTATTGAACAAATTTTTGTTGGGCATATACTGAGTGCCAAACACTTGGATGACAGTGGGCAAAGCAGATATTTGTCCTTAAAGAGTATGTAATACTGAAAGAGATTCACATTAACCCAGCAATTATAGGCAAGGTGAGGATTACCCAAGGGAAGGTGTAAGGGAAAGATAGCAAGAATATTTAACCTCATCTAGAGAGTCAGGGAAGACCTACCTGAGAGAGTAACATTTCAGCTCAGATTTGAAGGATGAAAGCAGATGGCACAGAAGGTGTTAGCAGTGTTCCAGGCAGAGGGAATCACATGCATGACTCCAGAGTCCAGAGAATGGAGAATATGGCAGAATGGTATCATATATTAGGGTTAGGTAAAACTGCCTCAAGGGACAGAAAACCCAGTGCAACAGTACTTTAAACAGTAAACAGCCGTGGGCAAACTACGGCCCGCTGGCCGAATCCGGCCGTTTGAAATGAATAAAACTAAAAAAAAAAAAGACCATACCCTTTTATGTAATGATGTTTACTTTGAATTTATATTAGTTCACACAAACACTCCATCCATGCTTTTGTTCCGGCCCTCCGGTCCAGTTTAAGAACCCATTGTGGCCCTCCAGTCAAAAAGTTTGCCCACCCCTGGTAAAGAAGTTTCTTATGTAAAAGTCTAGGTTTGGCAGTTTCACAGCTATTGGACCTGGCTCTATCCATCTTGTGCTGTCATCCTCCACCAGACACTTTCTATCTAGTGATCCAAATGACTCCTTCAGCTTTTAGTTTCCACATTCCAACCAGCAGGAAAGGGAAAGGGCCATACTTCTTCTCTTAAGGGCATGGCTCATATCCCATTGACCCAAATCCAGCCACCTAGCTGCAAGGGAGGCTGGGAAAGATCCTTATTCCTTTCCCACATATTCAGCTAAAACTCAGAATTGAATTACTGAGGAAGAAAATAGGTATTGGGTTATAATAGCAGTCTTTTATTCATGTGGCTAGATCCGTGGTCGGCAAACTGCGGCTCGCGAGCCACATGCGGCTCTTTGGCCCCTTGAGTGTGGCTCTTCCTAAGCCTTAGGAGTACCCTAATTAAGTTAATAACAATGTATCTACCTATATAGTTTAAGTTTAAAAAATTTGGCTCTCAAAAGAAATTTCAATCATTGTACTGTTGATATTTTGCTCTGTTGACTAATGAGTTTGCCGACCACTGGGCTAGATCATAGAATGAAGCAGGAGGAGAACAAGGTTAGAGAAGTAGGCAGGGACCAGATTGTGGGAGTTTTTTGCATCCTCGTTAAATAGGAGTTTAGAAACAGGGGAGTTTTAAATAAAGTGCTATGCTAGTTGTGGGTGCCTTGTGGGAGAACCAGAGTGGGGTCAGAGTGGACCCAAGCAGATCAGTTAGGA